CCCTGCTCCTCCTCCTTCTCCCCCCTACCCTCTTTGCTCGTCCGGTCATTCCGATAGCAACACGATATTCAAGCACCTGCTCCTCTTCCAATTGCTGGGCTCTTTCGCGCGTAACGTAAGCTCTTCGGACACGTTTCAATGGACCTGGATGACAGAAGACAGAGAAATAGAAAGGGCGACTGAACGAAGTCCTCGAGTGTTTTGGTAGATACGCGTTTAGGTGACGTGACAATTTACGGCAATTATTCTCGTGGCTATCGTGTTGCAGTGGTCGATTGGATAGAAACGATGGGATCGAAGGGATCTCGGGTGGTATAGGGTGAAATGAGTCCTTAATATGCTAGGATTGTTATTATTATAAATATTCTTAAGGAGAATCATCGTTCCTTCTATAGGAATATGCGTACGTGCGTATGGAGAGGGTAGTTTGCTGATAAGCTATCGACCGTTTATTCCGATAACAAGAGAAGCTTAATTACTTCCTGGGATTCTGATCTATTCTAATGAACTATTTTTTAGACAATTACAGTATACTTCAAAATGTGTTTATTTAGTAAAATTAAAATTCAATTTCTTCGAAGTACCCGCGTAATTGCTTTTTGATAAAAAAATTGCTGAAAGGGTGAATGGTAAAAGAGGTGTAAATGATTCATATTGGTTAATTACCCGAGCTTTATATCAAAAGCGAGAACCTCCAATGTTCTTGCCAATTACTGAAAATTTCTCATTCATTTAGCTAGCAGGTACCGACGACTCTCTTTTTTGGCTTTTCTTTACCGGATTCGTAAATTTTTTTTATTTTTTTTTTTTTTTTTTTAAACGGGTAACAGTCACGCTTCGTATACACGTATAATATTCGAATGAACCTATGAAGTAAGTTTTTATTTTTTCAAGTTGGTGAAGTACGATTTTTTTTTTTCTCTATACGTCACACCGTCGTCCTTTTTTCTTCTTACGCTTCATCCCTTGAATATAGAAACGACGATCCTCTCTAGCTCGTACATATTCCTTACACAAATTTTATTCCACCGCAACCACCTATCTTTCCGAGCCTGTTACTCGCAGCGAGCCAAAACGTAGACACGATAATTAAAAGCCAGTACCGGAAGTGAATTATATCAAAAAGTAAATTCAAGGAGTGCAGAAAAGTGCATCGTGCGGTAACGCCAACGCGAAGTGCCCCATTTATGGCTCGACGAACAGTCCATTACGTAATTGGTATGATATATAATTCAAATAAAAAAGATAACGGTAGAAAAAACGACTTAGGAATTTTCTTAAGAGCCTAGAAAAAGTGGGCAAACTTGCCCCGTTCGAAGCCAATTAGAAAGAAAAGCAAGAAATGGGGGCTGTCATTATGAATAGTCGAAAAATCCATCGAACCGATCAATCGCGAAAGCACGTTCTACTTCAGCAGGTTGGGATTGAATGAAGATCTCCGTCGTCTAGTCCCCGAAGGGTTGCCAACGTAAGGGTGGCTCCGTTCCGCAGTAAACAAAGCGAACAACTAACCAGCCCTTAGAGGAGCCGTCGACACGTTACACGGGCGAGGAGGACGGGAGGCCGATAAACAATAGTCCGAAGCAGCCTCCGGCACGCAACTCCCAACAGGGTACCGAAGGTGTTTCAAGATGAATGTAACCTGGAGGAAAGGAGCGAGCCGAGAGAGGCTCGAAGAAGAAGGCAACAGGGCTCGTGGCTGCTTTGGCCCTTTCGAGGTTACACCTGGCTAGATACAGCGCAGCCATTCCTATTTCGCAAACCATTTGTTTCCTCGACGTTGAAAAATGCTCTTTCTTTCGGGTTCGCCGCGGCGGCGGGTTAATGTTTTAAGGCACGATGCGTCCCGACGCGGACGCGTTTACGACGCATCGAGTAGTACATCTTTATACCTGTAAAATTATTCCCCGTGGTCTTGTTCGTTCGGCGGGGGGGTATTATGCTTCTGTGCCTCACTCTACGGATGCTGGAAGTGCGTGCCGACTACTGGAACACATGGGACATTATGGCTGTTTAGGTGGAACAAGCTGATAAAATAATGACGACACGACTATCCGAAAGGCCCGTTCACATAATTCTGTATCCGTCTGGAAATATATATGTATACACGCGAGTGAGGGATGCTCCGTCGTTTTCCGTCCGATTTATTGGCTAATCCCATATTTATTGGATGCAGAGGTAATTTCCAGTTTACGCAGTGGTTAACTGCTCTGCGCCGGCACGTTAACTGCAGGCATCACCTGCGGAGCGGCTTAACGTTATCCGGCTTAATTGGATCAGGATTAAATTAAGTTTCGCGCGTTACAACTTTCATAAAATCCATCTCGAGGGTCATCGCTGAACTTCTTTTCGAATATCGTTCGGCCAATTTATCCCACTCCCGTTAACGACCGCCTGTTGGTTTGCGTGTACGACCATTTGTGGTTCACGTTTATGAACGATGGGATGCAAATTTTGGAAAAATAAATTCACGTAATGCTGTGCAGTCTTTTTTTCATTTCCCTTACAAAGCTTCTTATGGTGTCAAAGGAAGATACTCGGGGCTTATATTCATGTGCGATACTATACTTATGCAGATTTCCAATCCAAGCTCTTTGTCCCGTTTCAAGAGAATCATTTATATTCCATGTACTGATCCTGGCTCAAGGTAATAATTGCCGGAGATTCCTTGAATTTTATTGATAATTTAGGGCTGTTTTCAATTATTCGTCGAAAGCTTCAATCTACGATTTTCACACTCTCTCCCTCTCTCTCTCTCTCTCTCTCTCTCTCTCTCTCTCTCTCTCTATCTTCCTATCTACCTCCCTCTCTGTCGTTACCTGACCCATTCCCATGGGATGGTTCATGCAAAACAGCCTAAAGCGGAGCGTCGATTTCGTCGGGTGCGAAACCTTCGACCAGCCAGTATAATTCGCGAAGCGATTTACATTTCATTTGGCCCCTAAAATGTTCTCGCACTGTGCGCCGGCCCTGATAATTACTCGAAACCTTTTAATTACTTGATACTTTAATACCTGCTTGTGGCGCCCTCCGTTTCAGACTGAGTCCCCGCTCGACGCCCCCAGTCATCTGCAATTCAACGCAAGCGAATTCGGGGACCGAAACAAAACAGTTAATCCTTTTTACTCTGACGTTCCTGAGCCTCGGGGCTCGTCCATTCATTTCACCTCGTCCTTTCTCTTTCTCACTCTCTCTCTCTCTCTCTCTTTCTCTTTCGAGAATCCCGTTGTTGGGCAACGGGCGACTCCAGACTACCTTTTACGCCCCTTTCGGTTCTCTTCTTTCCCCTTTCGCATCGCTATATCTATACCGTAGAGGAGTATCCTGCTTTCCCAGCTGCGGCTGTTTTCTGGTATTTAATTATTTTCCCCTATACCGGAAGGAAACGCTAAAACGAAATTGTGTTCCAAGCTGGAATACCTATGTATACATGTATGCATATACGTTTAAAAAAAAACAATACAATGTAACAGACGCATTAAACAGAGAAGCCATTGTCGCCTCTATAGTTCGTCAAGATTTCTATGGCTAAAATTACGTGGCAGCGCCCCTGTCGTCAAATTTATGTACTATCGGCAGTATCTCCGCGGTGCAACACACGAGAATCGTGAGACTTAAAAAGCAACCCTTGTCAAGCATTTCTCAGTGTAATTTTGAAGAAGCTCAGGGAAGAAGGGCTAACCTCGGAGATGGCAGGACCGTTTGTTATCCTGACTAATTTTGATAAGTGGCACGGCTCCGAAAGAGCAACTGGCCCCTAAGTCCAGCAATTCCTCAAGCGCAGGAAGGGACTAAGCGCGGGGCTCTGAACGTTTTGGTAGAGCTCTCTGGGTCAAGGGTAGCATGAGGAAACACTCGATGCCTGTGCCAAGAGAATCGAAGGAGAGGGTTGCCTGTCTACCATTTAATCAATCTGTGGTTCGCGGTCACACCGCTGCGCAGCGTGAAGAGTGTCCTGATTGAGAGCCGTCGTTCCTGAAATCGTCCTCAGCCAACCTACCCAACCCCATACACCCTGCAACCGACCCTCCTTCAAGTGCCTACCAGTCACTCCCGAGGCTCGTATTTTGCTATAAAAGTACCATCCACTCTCACTGGTTCTCCATGCTCGTTTCCGCCGGAAATGTCCCCATTCTTTATCCTCGTCTCCTATTGGCTCTTCACGCTTCAGGATGTCGAATACCCTGACCGAAGAATGCACCGTGTTCGCACGTGTCTTTCTACCCTATAAATGTGTATATATATATATATATATATATATAGTAACGTCTACGTATCGCTTGACTGTTCCAGGAGTTGGAGAGGAGCTACACTTTGTCGACACCCGGGGGCAGCAGTCCTGTTTGTTGTCCACCCTGCAGTCCACCCCCGGCACCGGCAGCCTATATATCCAGCGCCAGGGCGTCTTCACGACGGCTTGGCGTCGGAAATGCTCTCGGAGGAGCACCCTCCCCTGAACGGGATCCCCTGGGGCGTCTTTTAAGGTGAGTCTCATGCAAAACTTGGACCATTAACTCCAGCTATTGTCCCAGGACTTTCACCTTCCCGTAATGTACCGAAATATGGCTAACCCCGCTTTAGGGGTGGTACATGTTTATATCGTGCACCCGACGGAACGTTCTGGTCCAAGGTCAATATAGGGAGATCAAATTTTGAGGTTTTAACGGGCCATTATCCTTTTGGGCATTTTTTGAAAAATTTTGCTTCCTGCTCAAAGGGGATCCATTATACGAAGCCGAAGATCTTCCCTCGATCGCGTCATCGAAAAAAAAAGGTCCCTTTCCGACCTTCATTATTACGATCCGGTCGCTTAAGATTCCCTCTCTCGTTCCTTGTAGAGATCGAAACGACTTTATACGGAATCGCCTGGGTTTCTCGGCTCTCACGTAAATGCCGATGCAGTCGAATGGGCTGCCGCAGTTAAAGCTCAGCTCGCGGAGGCTCGTTCTAAATCATTGGATAGTTATAAATTTCAGGGGATGTTTCTTATACATTTTCACTATTTTATACCCTGTAGCCTCGTATCTCGTTCGGGTTATCACTTAACGCGTTTTCATTTTTATGACTTTCCATTACGCGTATCGGAAAGGTAGCCTCCACTGGGTAGCTACTATTTTCAACGTGCTTCAACCCCATTTCGCAATATTCCCATGGCAGACGGCAAGATTCCTTCGTAACCCGCGGCAAATCTTAAGACCTTCAGATACGTCCGGATATTTAGATTGTACGAGTCATTTTTCAGATCGTCTACATTCCTGCTCCATATGTCTTTCCATTCGTCCATAAACTCCGAGATAACTCAGTGGTCGATATTTCTTTTTCTTTTTTTCTTTCCTATACAGATTCCTGAAGACCTTCTACAGGGAACTCGGTACCAGGGATCCACCACACTTGCCCCAATGGGCATTGCCTCTACCCCTTGGCACCCTGTGTCCGGCACACTTTCAGCCCCACCTGCAGCTGGTGCACAAGAGCGAGCAGGAACATCTTCTCGAGAATATCAGACCAGAGCAAATCTTCGCTCCCGTCAGAGTCAGTATGAAAGCAGTTATCTCCCGGTGCGTAAGCCGCCACCCCGAAGGACCTCGTAAAACCGGAAGAGCACTTGGGCCACGTGGCCCCGCCTCGCCAATTCTAGCCTCGTAACCTCGCGATCGTTGTGCGCGTGAGAAATCGCTGGAAAAAGTGATAATAAAAAATGTTACCAGATTTAGAGAGAAAAAAGTCCCTAGAATATCTACGATACAATATCGTCATGCTCGCCAGCATGCATATCGCAGATACCCCCGTAATTCCCTGGGCTTTTGCAACGGGCTATCTAAATGGGGTACCAACGTAAACCTTATGAATAAGAGAGAACCAGAAGATGATTTGCGAGCTATAAATTTGCATGATATCGACTATATAATTGCGCAACTTGCAAATTTCTCCTCGACGCGAATATGCACGCGATATAGTATACCGCTACTGTCGGCATCGCTGCCTCCTATTGCTACTGTTAATGCTACTGCTGTTTCAACAGTTTCTCGAGAGTCAGCTGAACGCTCGATACTGGAACAAAGGTACACACTATAGGTATATACAAGACATTATATTTTTATCCCGTAAACAAATAACGGTCTATATTGTATTTACGCACGAGAGACACAAAGGGTGGCAAATAAATTTGAATCTGCGCCCGATTGATTTTCTTCGGCAAAAAAAGGGAAAACCTATAGACCCTTAGCGGTTCGGTTCAGTTCAATTGAAGATTACTGTAGGTCGTAGCTAAAGGTCAGACGGCTTCAACGATCCCTCGTAATAAGAGATAACCTTTCACACACGCCGGTACTTGCTTTCTTGTAGAAGAGAAAGTCAAGGGGTTGAAAAAGAAAAGAACCCTCTTGAATTTTTTTTTTTTTTTTTTTCTTCTCTTTGATCAACGCACGAACCGTACCACCTCACTCGCGAGAAGATTCTCAGAACATAATTTCCACGAGGCGTCCCGACGTCCGCGACGTCTTCCGCAAAATTGACGTCTCGAGTGCCATTAAAGCCGAACAAGCTTCACCCCTGCTATCCAAGAAGTCACGAAAGTGGATACGTATGGAGCGACTACCGTGCCATGTCGTTCGTTTGTTTCATCCTCGCCAACTGGGTTTCCGGAAGTCTCTTGGTTATCCTTATTCGCTGGATAACCGTTGGGCACCGACATTGTTGCCTAAGATTTCCAGTACCGTCACGAGGTATCAAATTAACCCCATCTACCTTCCAAATATTTTGGTCAGCTATCGGTGTGTATCGGCCTTAATGCTAGCAAGAAATAATACTTGATGTATTCTTACAGCCCGGTTGTTCCATCAATGTTGCCTCGACATACACTAATTACCCAATCTCCTACTTTTCAGGTGGTTCATTGTCTTTCGGGCAAATATTTGCACGAAAACCGCTCATACCGAGACCTGTAGGTACACACAAAGCGAAAACTCTACGTTAATACAGTCACGAAATTATCGTGTAAATACTTGACGAAACAATTTTCGACGTCGCTGCTTAAAAGAGGGACGGTGCAGTTTCATGAGCGCCAAACGGAGCTGGGTCGAAGAGTTTGGTGGAATTTGAAAAAAAGAATGTCCGACCCCCTTCGGGATCAGAATTCCCCGGTGTACGACTATACCGTTGATATCTTTCTTAATTTAAAATATCTCAACGTTATCTTCGCTTCACGTACGGCGGAATGCAACGGCGACGATTGCCTCGCGTGAAATGCGGACAATGCGCCACGTCGCTGGGAATTGTGCATGGCGAAAAATGTGGGTCGCGTCACCAGGAGGATTGCAGGATTTTCAACCGGATTCGAAGATACGAATGAAAGTTTGGTATAAGATTGACAGAGAATCGTAAAAATAAAAAAAATGTTATAACAAACTCGTATTGATATCTATATGTTATGTTATGGATATCAGATATATCCTATATGGATAGGTATAGATATATATAGCGATACCCATGCGTATATTCAACATTAGGAATACGCCACTCAGGTACACGCACGTTCCTTAGCCAATCGAGCGTTCTACATGTAATCGGGTAATGATCCGCGCCATCAGTTTCTCACTGGATGCTCGAACCCTCATCGGAGCGATATCTGTGAACGTGAAACCACTGTCGTGGATATCTTTCCTTGGGAACGCCTTTACTGTATCGCTATCGCTGCGACATCCATTGGAATTGGCACAGGCGGCAGGCGGCAGGCGAGATAGACTCGTGGCTGGGTCCGCCACGTTAGCCAAGAAATAAATTAGGGATGGATGAACAAATTGGCTGATCTTGTCATTTCGCCTTTGGGTACAGTATTGTCCTAGTAGATTCTTGAATCCTCATGTATCGACATTGATATCGACGTGATTCATCGGTTTGGCTTATTTTTGAAATGCAACCTGACGACGTCGCGTACGTTGAATATCGGCCTCAGGACGTTCAGTGGGAAAGACGTGGAAGCCAGTAGCTGTGGAAGAGACCATCTCAAGGGTTCTATTGGACATTGTGGGATAATATAATTTATAGTGATTTACATCGATTATAGGTTTAGCTATACGATTGGAATTTAATGTACAGATTCTCTTTGGTAGGAATCTTTGGAATTCGTAATTCGGAGCAATTAGTATTCGTATTGGATATTATGTATTGTCAATTGTTGTTATTGTATCTTGTAGCGGGTGATGCTCATACGGAACGGATGTTTCTAGGTTTGGTTAGATCCATTGTACTCGTGCCATGAGAATCTGGATAATGAATTCTTGGCGGTGGAGAGTTTGCCCGATTAATAATTCGCTAGGTAGTCGCCGTATTTGAATTAATCACAGTCCCAGGGAACGACCGTTAGCGGTGTGTATTCTTCGGTGAGAATGCGCCGAATGGATTACGGTCGGATTTAGGAAATTTACGATTTTCCAGCATTGTGCGTAACGAGCGAGGCAAACGTGTGAATTCAGTTTTGCTAAAATAGTCCACCGCTTCCGGGAAATACATAGGAATCCGTTCTCCGGTGGCGGATTAAGCGACTGTCTCAACTTTGAGATTAGTTAGGGTCGGCGTAGGAACTTCTCCGGAAGTCGGTGTAGGAAGAACCGAGCTCGGTCGGGAAGTCGAGGTCCTTGACAAGGCACTTCGAGGGTGGCAGGACGAGCACCTCCCGACAAGTCCAAATGTCCAGAGTTTCTGTAATTGGCAGTCGAGGCGGATGAATATAAGGATTTATTTGCTTTTGCAGTTGAGCGACGGCACCATCGCCGAGGCGCCGCGACGCGTCGCCGTGGAAGGCGGTCCAGGTAGCGGAAGGACGACTCTTTGCCTGAGACTCTTACATCAGTGGGCCACTCAGGGTGATGGACCAGCTCTGGCGTTCATCGTGCCACTTCGCGAGCTCAGGGGTAGCCCTCTGCTGAACTACCTGGCCAGGGAACTGTTCCCGAGGACAGCTGCTCTTGGGGATGCTGTAGCTCAAGTATGGAGAACTCTTCATCTCATAGAGGACCGGGTACTCTTCGTTCTCGATGGCTACGACGAGTGCGTAGGCGGAAGAGCTTCTCTTGGGGATGCCGTCGATCTTCTCGAGGGTAGACTCTTCCCGGATGCGAGGCTTCTAGTCACCTGCTCGCCAAATAATTCTCCGACCCTTTCGCCCCTGGTCCAGAGGAGGATCCACCTGGCGGGTCTCGAGTGGCCCCACGTAGAGAGACTCTGCGTGGCCTACTTCATTCACAACGATGTCGCTGAACGTGCCTGCGAGTTCCTGGAGGCCCTTAACGTGCAGCCACAGGCTGTTAAGCAGCTGGGCCAACATCCACTGGGATGGATCATGCTTTGCTCCCTCTATCAGGACTCGGGCAGCTTACCTACGGAGACCAGTGCTCTGGTGCAAGCTGCTGTTAAGTGCATCGTCAAGAGGAGCCTCGACCCGCCCGTCCCGTATAACGAGGAAATTCCAGGCCACTGTAGGAAGAGACTCGAGGACTTCGGGAAGCTCTCCTTGGCTGCGTTGAGGGAAGGTCGCTGCTGCTACACGGAGGCCGAGTTAAGAGCCCGCGGGGGTGGAATCGAGGTTACCAGGCTGGGCTTCCTCACGCGAGGACTCACTTTCGGCCAAAGACGAAAACCCGATCTGTACACTCCCATTCATATGGCTGTCGCTGAGTTCCTGGCCGCGTACTACCTCACCTCCGTAGCTCAGTATGCCAACATATTGCGACGGGAACTGGAGGGTCTTCCAGGAGGCATCATCAGCCATCTGGCAGGTCTGCTAGGACCCAAGACCCACCTTATTCTGAACCAGTTGTGTCCCCTCGAAGTCCCACCGCGGGCAGTGTTTTCTCTCCTGAAAGCAGCCGGTGCATCGGACGGCAATATTTCTGCAGTCTGTAGGCTCGTCGGGGCTGGTCCTGGATTTGGTCCTGCGCCCAACGAGAGGCCACCGTCTCCCCTGGTACACACGGTTCCCTTGGAGCTCGAAGGATGGGCAAGAATTTTAAAATCAGCAGCCTGCACCCTGGAAGCACTCGAGCTTGTTTTCCAAATCGAGAGAGGATCCGATCCAAGATACTTGGACGAGTTCTTCGAGGCTCTTGCTGGAAACGAGAGCGTCAAGTTAGTCAGGATCACGTCGCTCCTGGGACAGGAGTCTTCCACCGAAGAGGCACAGAGATTGGCTGGACATCTTAAAAGTGTCCTTGGAAAGAAGAAACTGAACGACTTCGAGCTGGTCATCACGTGTCTGGAGGAATCCGCCCACGATGGGTGAGTTCCAATTTATTTCACCACTTTAGTTTTATGCGACTTGCATGCCACAATTTACCATAAAGTATCCAACCATAAATTTTCTCTCTGCAATTGGATTTGTACCCATTGCATTTCCACGTGCATACGCAATATCACGCTGCTCTCGTACATCCAAACTGTCCTACATTTAAAAATATGCATTTTCGCCCGAGTCTCTACGTACCAAAGGTAATCTCAGTACATAAAACTTGCGAATACTTTGAACACCATATATACATTCTCTAATAGTATATGTCATACTGATTTAACATCGAATTTATCATCGACCGGTCGTTTGACCGTTTTAAAGCCAAAAATACGTTTATAAATAATTTTCGGTATTTTTGGTGTTAAAATTGAATTTAAGAAAAAATTTTGTTCCATCATTTTTTTTCCCGTATTCTATTATTAATTTCCCATGGCTTCCGGCACTCAAACGACTGACACACGTCATACTTCAATGTGTCAAACCATTCGACGTGAACGAATACAAATTTATCGGTAAAACCTGCCGTTCCATATTTTACATTCTTCATTTATACGATATCATCGTACAAACATATCTCTTCATTATGGATTTATAGAAACACGATGGATAAAATGTATTTTTGTTTTTTATCATCGCAGATTCTAAATCCGTGTCCAATTTACAATTCATACCGCTGCCGCAATTGTCAATGAATGTCTAAAAGTTCCTTTCTAATGCCAACCGAAACGAGTAAATCATCAGCTGGGCATTTCTGGCCATTGGCGCTCCAATAAAAAAGGCCAGCGTCATATATCTATATACAATGGACACATGTATCTTAACCTGCACAAATACACACATCGAATTGCCCAGAAAATAGCACGAGGCTCCCTGAAAACTCCAATGAAGAATCGCCGGAGAAAGGAATAAAAAAGAGAGTAATGAAAGAAACGACGAGGAAAAGAATGGAGGTGAAACCTTATTCACCGAAACACAAAGAATATTCCACCGCCGTAGCCTTTTGTTTCTGGGCAAATGCCTTTCTCCGTACCGTCTGCCAGAAAAATATGTTTCGTTTTTATTCATAAGATCCATTGTCTAGGAAACGATTTCATACGTTCCAGATTAACCCGTCAATAGGACGGTTCACCGTAAACCTACTATAATCAGGTCGCACGGTATTACTCGACTTTTCAATGCGTAAATCGATCTGCGATACGTAGTTTTATTATAGATAAATGTGAAGGTAATAAAAAAAAAAGAACGGAACGAAACCGTCCCCAGGACGAAGAAAAATTTTTTAAGAGATAAGAATACCTATCTTTCGGTATCCACTCACTGATTCGTTGGAATAAACATTGATTTAAAAAAAAAAAAAAAAAAATACGTACCTTCATAGTCAAACGATTAAAGGACGAAGAATACAAAGGAGGAAAGAATAAAGAAAAAGGGAACAGAGAACAGGAGCATTCCGTCTGTTAAGACAGGCGAACGACTGGAATAACAAGGAGCGTAAAATTTATTCGAACCTCCCATCATTACCCACGTTGCCACTGGAAGGGAACGCCACGTGTTTATCGACGTAGAAAATCGTCGAGGTTTTGAAGAAGTTTGACAAAACCGGCTCGTATCCCGCGGTAGGCCGTGCGAAGGTCGCGCGAATATATAGGGAATAAAGTTGAAGGGATCCTTCGGTTGGTATCCCTGAGAAGTCTAGGTAAGAAATGCCGTGGAAACGTGGCCAGAGGGTTGCCGCTGCTTTCGCTTGGGACGGCAAGTAAATTAAAAAGTTTCACGGCTCCTCGGTAAAGGCGCGACTGAATTTCCCAGGGCTACGTTTATCCGCCGTCCTATGCAGTAAAGCGGAGGAGAGAAGCACGTTTGCTTTACGAGAAGTCTCCGCTCTCGAGGAATCTCGGGAGGAACTTTGAATTTCGATGGGTTATCTTCATATTATAAATACGAATAGACGCGGCCTCTGGGTCTTCGCGCATACGCAATTTCATCTCTGAATCTACCTTCGTTGTCCATTTGAATTTCCCGCTCTCTCAGCCTCTGACTCTCTACGTGTCTCACGTGTAACCGCGTGATTCGAATCTACGAAACTCGTGTCGTGCGACAGACAGAAATTTATTTATCGATAGGTGTCGACCGGGGAATTGTCAATGATTTAGCAGCAACGAAGCCGCACGAAGCGTTTCGCCTGCATTTGAAGGCAAGTGAACTGCCGCGTCCAGGGATTGAAACGAGAGAAAAAAGAACCAGAGAGGCAGCCAATGCAGAATCACACGTCACAAACGGGGAATTACGCTATTCGTATCGGGAAAAAAGGAGTGAATGCTACCAACGTTATATTTTTCAAAGCAAAGAATCATAGTCTATTACTCTTTCCCTTTTCCTTCCATGGAGGGAAAAAAAAAAAAAAAAAAAAAAAAAAAATTTTCTTCCATTATTAAGACATACCCCGAGAGAATTTAGGAAAATACAGATAAACATGGAACATCGAACAAATAGAATTTACCCGAGACAACAAATTTTCTCCTGTCCACTTACTACCGCGACAGCACGATACGCGGAATTTCTTAATTTCACGAAACACAGGAAAAACTGAACCTCGCGTACGCCTCTACGTTAGCGTCGTGTTATGACGCTTTTACGACGACGTTAAATTCGTCGGGAAAACTAGGAACACGAGAGCAGAAAAAGGAAGGCTCAATATTCCCAGCACGATTCGCGCCTCCCCGACCAGGTGTCCTCCCTTCACCGAGAAGAACATAACAATGAGCGGAGGCTGCAAGAGACTCCTGGGGTTGTTCCCGTTGGTTGGGCTTGACGCGGAATACAGGCACTCGGGAATATGCTGCACAAGAATAGAGAAACGTGTCCATTATATTAGACGTTCCGGTAGCAGCTCGGGAAAAGAGACTATTTAATGCCAGCCGCACTGACACGACCCATCCTCATGTTGCCAGACAGGAAACGGCAAAATTAAGAAAGGCACCATGTTCGCGCAGGAGCTCGCGCTTCGGTAAGCTGACTTCCCGTCCGTATTTCTGGCGGTTTACTTTTTTCACAACTGCGGAGCTTCCCACGCACTTTATCCAACAAGAATTATTAAGGTAAAGCAAATTTCAACCTAAGAAATACAGAGTTCGATCTGAAAGTTGTGCTGTGAAATTTGTTTTCCTACTAGTCGCGTTTCTGATTGGCAAGATAAAGACATTCGAGTCATAAGAGTCGAGCGTTACGCATGAAAATATGAGGAAACGAGTGATTCGATGAAAGCTGACAGCTGACGCGTCCTTATGCACGTACGAATGTACGAAGCGAAGGTAAAATAGAATTGGACTTTGGACATGATCCAAAAATTCTAGTTATTTTGTCGAGCTAAGTTGGGACGCCTTTGGATAAATGTCCCGTGTATATTTCTTGCACGAAGGTAACGGACGTCAGTGTCAAAATACATTATGAAGGTGAACGTACCTTGTGCGGCGGTACAATTTTGAAAATGAGAATGCCAGTAATTTTTCAGGCTTAACCTTAGCACGTCGGTCAATCAAGACCCTCGTTATTCACCCGAGTGACAGTTTCCCTACAGTATCTATTGGGAGAATTTTTTTTCAAATTCATCACTTTCTTGGATATATGAAAAATATATAATTCATGAAGGAAAACAAGTCTCTTCAAATCGAGATGAAATTCTCGGCTGATTCACAACGATGCGCAATTTCCAACTGCGCCGAGCATCTCGTTTACTCTGTATAAGAAAATTTAGTCCCTCGTTTGCAACTCTCCCTGGAATACATTGAATGCGTCGGGAGCTGCAAGCTCTATAAAACAACAGCGACTAGACAACGAGCCCACTTTACATAAATATATGTTATTTATGCATACGCGAATACATATAGCACACACTGCTTCGGACGTAACGGTGCGCGGAGGAAAATTAAACGCCTACAAGGAATTTCGTGGAAAATTTGTCCATTTCAAAATTTCTACTCTCTCGAAGTCATCGTGCCGTTATGCTTTATGCATGTGAATTCTCCGTTATTTATTTATATAATCTCTGTGAATCCTCTCGAAACGTTCCTCTCTAACGCTCAAACTATCACGCTTGATTTCAGATTGGAGTGCGTGGTGAACGCCCTGTGCCGTGGTCTGAGCCATGCTTCAGTTCACCTGGCCCGGCTGGTCCTCGACATGAATCTGTCCGGGAAACAAGTGTCCCGGGTGTGCGAGGCTCTTCGCGATTGCGTCCAAGTGCAGGCATTGCACTTACCGCACTTAAGCTGCGGCTGCGAAGGGCTGGCCTCGGTCGCCGAGTTACTCAAGGAGAGACCACTGTTAGCACTGAACATCGCTGGATGCTGGGGAGCCAAGAACGAGGATCCATCGAGCTCTGGAATCAGTATGGGTAACACCTCGACCCTCCGATATCGGTACCCAAGAAATCCCACAGGACGAACAGGATAGAATTCTTTATTATTTATACCTCGCAGACATCACGATCCTGAACTCCTCTTAGATGGAGTGGGATGGACCATGTGGATAACACGAAGAGAGACAGAGAGGAAAAATTCCAATTTCTCTTACTGAAATACTCGTGGCGAAAGTATCGAAGTCTTATGCTTTTTCAAACAACAATGGAACCTGCCAATGCAGGTCGACCCAAGTCTGATATTTGATCCACCACCTTAACCACAAGAGTCCTGGATTAACGAGCGAGTCCTGATGAAACTTGGCACGAGATTCTACCGAGTCTTGATCCCACTGGATGGGTTCGATCCGCGTGTAAAACGTGTCGCCTTTCATCCCGTGACAACCGGTTGAAAGTTCTTACTGCGAATGTTTCAGACTGGCTGTCTCGGGCAACGCGATTATTGATTCGCAGAGGAGAGATGTAAATTGTAGGAGAGAAAAGTTTCAACGATGCTCGAGCGTCGAAAGTACTTCTCATTCGAATTCGCACTTGGATCCTCCGACAACTCGTCTCCTAGTTATATGATATCGTATCTAAAACAAAGTACCGAGCAGTGCAGACTTTTCTATGGTTCTATTGGTCTGTTGCGTCGTTGCGTCACTACTTTGGTAAAACGTTGCAATTCTGCTAGGTGGCTGTGAGAAATGAGAGTCGAGGATTCTGAATCGTCGGATACGGCACTGCGGAAGCGCTCGTCCTTCCTATATAGGAGCAATAAAGTGAATTGCCACGGAGCGCATTAAACCTCTGCCTGCTGAAGGTGCCGTACGAAAAAGAACGGAATAAAAATGGCTTCGCACTAAGACACTCAGAGATATTCTTGGATCAATCAACCGTTACTTTTTATATAGTTCGTTAGCGCTTCCGGAACAGGAATGACTTCCGGCGATGTTACTCTTTTAAGAATAAGCGTATATCGATCAAATTACCAAAGCGGTGGCCTGTGTCAGTTGAAAGAACAAATGACGTTTCATCTACTCCGAAGGGATATACCACGACGTTAAACAAGGGTGGTTCGGAGCTCCTTGGAAAACTTTGCTATGACATCACGTATACGAATAACCATAAACCGGTAACGACTTCGAGAAGAACGCCAAGTGCGAATTCCCTACCGTAATCCTGTGAACTTCGAAATTAGGACGATTTCGTCTCGTGCTGTATGTATATGTATACGGATAGAAATTGTATTACGGCTTATATATTTGGGAATCTGTAAAGCGATTATCGATAACCCTTACAATTTCCGTTTGATCGGTACCCCGTCTGACAAATGAAAAGTGACTGTAATAGAAAAGCTAGGGACCTAGATAACTGATTAGTTTCGGATCTCAGTGAGAGTTTGCTAACAATGTTAGTAGGGTCATGGACTTCGCAATTCGCTTGGCAATCCCTTTTGGTCCCATCTGTCGTCTGGCAAGATTGGTGTAGTGGTAGCGGTGGTAATAGATGGCTAGTAGTAGTACTACTACTACTGCCACTAGCAGTGGTACAGTAGTAGTGCCAGCATACAGAGAGCAGTTGAGTTCTCTTGAGAAAAGGGAAGAGACTGGCAATCAGAGAAAAATTGACTCTATCCATCTTAAGCAGGACATTGTAGACAGTTGGTTCCCCCAGGTCATTCCTCAGATTTATATGTGATAATAATAATAATAATACTTTCCCTGCTAAGAGAATGGCTAGAATATATATTTGTGTACCAAAGTACCTAACCTCACAGCCTTCAAATCTTGGAGATACGTTTGGCATCCCTCTCATCTCAGCCGTCTTTCCCACAAACGACACTTTCCAACTGAATTTCCGCTCGCAAATAACGTATTAATCATCGCTGGTCCTTTCTCATCCTTTATAATCACTGGAAACCGTTCTTTGCTTGCCATTTGCTAACCCTCCTTCTGTGCTGTAAGATGCTGTGTATGTATGTATATCTGCACAGCCACACACCATTCTCCATGTTGACTACCCTGCTTCCACAAACAGTCCACCGACCCAAGCTCATTCACTTTTGACGAATGAGTAATTCTCAAGGTATTCGGGGTAGCGATCTTACTTTGTTGTTCTTGTTGTTTCTTCTTAGTAACAGGAACAGTAATTACGGACAGCTGAGTCTCTTTGCTTTATTATGTATTCGAATTCTCTCGGAGACGGACATCTTGTTATTTAGTGAACTTGCCCGGAATTCCATCCCTTATCAGACATCGATTCCAACCTCATATCCGTGATTCTAGTTCTTAAGGTTATATACACTGTATCTTCAAAGCACTACATCTGGTGTCGTGAGACTTTGCTTAGCTTTCCCTATAGTTACCCACTTCAAGTAGCTCGAGTCAGCCAACTAAAAGTAAACCAGCAAATAGTTTTCTGACTAACCGGATCTATTCGCTCAAGATACGTAACAACGAGCTGCTTTACTTTCAAAGACAACAACAATAACAACATGAAATAATAATCATAAATTTTCTCTCTCTCTCTCTCACGTAAAATCACATAGCTCTATCAAGGATAAAAAAAAACAGTGTATAGTGCCTCTATTGAGGGCATTTTCTTACGAAGGCGTTAATGACCCGTAGGCCAGAAGTGCTTTGGAATAACCGAATGGCACAGGAGCACCAGGTTGTACCTACTCAACCACTTGCAAGTTCAATAGAAGCGCCCGTCGCGCAGCTCGACTTTTGAAAGGGGAACTAATGAATTTATCCTTTCTCCGTCGGAGCGATAGGGCACGAAATAAAAATGGCTTAACAGTAGAATAGGCCACGAATATATCTCGACGTATTCGTCGAACGTATTAGACGTATCCCAGTGTACGTCAATACAGCTTCCAGGCAAAGTAATGCATTTTGAATGATACACGATCATTCTCGACGGTCTCACTGTTCGACATCTACATGCTCTGTATTTCGCACCCTGTCCTTAGTGTCTATATACCTTCTCTATACGTACTCCAATAGTTACGTATATCTGCGTACACTACGTGACTGGATATACATATAGTGCAGTATCACGTATATATATATATATATATATATATATATATAAAGCGTACCGCAAGCTTTAGGGCGGAACATTCGAGGCAGCCAGCACCATTGCCGCATCTAGCCCGAGACGTGACGTGGCCAGACAGCCATTTTCAATTGCCTTCTCTTCTCCTGTTTCTCGCCTCTCAAGCTCAAACTACAAAACCCCTCGTCAGTCTGTAATACTCCGAGCGTTTCGATTGACGATCCCGACGTTAACGTTGAATACCATTTATTTTTGTCCCTTTTATTCGCCTCCTTGTTCCCCTTTTATTCCTCACCCTCGTTTAATCTATTAGGATCGGCCGGGTCGGTGAAAAATACGATAACGCTCACTGGACTCCAATGAATCGTTACGGATGAACCTTCGGACACGACTTGTAAATCCGTAAAATCTACTTTGACGTTCATCGTGCTGGCGCCGCCAATTCCATTCACCTATGCACTTCCGCTCTTTCGTTCGTGAGTGCACAGAGAAACGGATTAGCTACTTAGCAAACCAAGCTTCCTTCATGAAATATCCACTATCCAGGTAGCTGCCTCAGGAACACCCTTCCGGATGCTTGTCGAACCTCTGACGGAAGGTAATCCGGGGAAACCTAATGCATTTATACACTTTAGATTATACTGCAGCGACGAACGCGGTCTGCTTAATACCTGAATTAGTGGTTTTCATGAAATAAAAAATGGTCTTAGTAAGCGAAGCTTGAAATCACTATTTTCCTATGACGTTACATTGCCTACGTCTGTTTACACTAGGATATTTACTTGCACTTAGATATGCGATATATTATAGGAACTGCGTTATGCATCAAACTGCGTTGGAACTAGAGTAAATACACGATTGCAACAATCTATTTGGTAGTCTGACGTTTTCCGGTGGAACATTTCAATATTGCTAAATGCATAATTATCCTGGATCATTGTTTAGACACGAAGTTACCGCTTCAGTAATTTACATGGGAGTATAATGCGACTTTATAGAAATGCTTTAGCGACTATTGTGTCTTCCGGTTCTTGCCGGTACGTTTAAAGCTTATTCAAGTACGTCCCCCGTCGTCCTCCTTCCGGAAGCCAGGCTCTTATCTAGTCTTTCGCATTGTAAATCTCACTCACAGTCCACCCGGTTCTTCGGTGCACGCCAGTCCTCTAAATCCCTTGAAAATTATATCCAATCCGGAAACACGTACCGCAGTTAATATCGCGCTAGTTGTTCACTGTCGGGTACAGAAGTGTCGGCAATTATTCTGCCAATAAGTTAATTCAGCTTCCTGTGGGAATTTCTGTATACGTAGCTCGTAGATGCTGATCACATGGACTTTCTCTGCTCTGAGTTGATCAATGTATTATGTAACGTTCAAAGGAAGTATTGCATGGAAAAGAAAAGGTGTCCCTTAAAATAAGACTATTGGATTGGTTTGTCATTTTGTCTGATCTGCGTGTGAAAATTCTTTTTCCAGGCTCAGGATCAGGTTCTGGTAGCAGTGGCTGCGCATCCAGCACCCTTGGCACTTTGCCCTTGAATCGTTGCTGCTCGTCACTTCCACGTGGCGCTCTCGCGGCCTACGGAAGTCTCACGAGACCTGCGACACTTCCGAGACTTCCGTTCGGCTTAGGACTTGGTCCAGGACCGGTTAACGGAACGGGCCCTCTACCGGTGAACGATAGAGACAGAGATAGCAACGGCAGCAGCAAGAGAAACAGCGACAGCGTTCTTTGCCACAGAGTACCTCTGCTACATCCTCTTCCAACCTGCGACGCCTCCAGCCATCAGGGCACTGGCTTTCACGAGATCTTCAATGCCATCAGGTTTCTTAATCTTCAACATTATTTTCAACTCTCGAGCGACTGACTGATGCATGTAATCGTATGCATTTTGCATAAAGCGCATCCAACGTATTCTGCTTTCCCATGGTAATAAATGGAATTCGAAATTTGTTTATACTGAATGCTTCTACATATATATATATGCAGTATATATATATATATATATAGATTTATATACTTGAGACTCGAGTAAACCCAATCAGTTGAACCGCCAAGTGCTATTAAAGTCATCTATCGACCTTCGTAATACTAAATCAAACATTCACTCAGTCAACTTACCTGATAAGATAGAGAGAGAGAGAGAGAGAGAGAGAGAGAGAGAGAGAGAGACGCCAATTTTAATGGTTACGAAATTCCTACGGTATGAAGTTCGCAACGGAATGAGTTTTCTCCGGGCAAATAAGTTATGGAAATTGGTAAGACGAACGCGAATGGCCATTCGCTAAAATATTCAAAAGTCGAATGTCGCTTGTCGCCCCGTTTTAGTTGAAAGGAACGTTAACAAGATATACCGCGCAAAGGTTACTAAAGTTTCTCTTAAGACCCTACTATATCTTCGGTACTAATTGTTGTTTCCCTGGATTCAATCGACGTCGTCAATTGTGTGTCATTGACGTAGGTATACAGGGTGTCCCGCAACCGTTAATTAATTTTTCAGAGGGCGAAAGAGGCTGGAATTGAATTATTTACCGAGTTATTAATAATTAAGGTTTACGTATGAGACGCCGCGCGAGCGCAGATGGACGTAGTTACGTTAAAATTTCCACGGTCTTTAACGCCCTGTAAAATTAATTAACAGTTACGGGAATCCTGTATATGTTCCTGCATATAGTTCCCAGTTGAAAAACGTCTCTCATGAAAATATCATCTTGAGCTCGAGGTGCTAAAACGAGAAGGAGTAAAAAGAAATAATGAACGACCCTTGGACACAGCCCTCTTCGAACAATTAATAATAATTCATAGAGAGAAATGGTCCATGGATGAGATTTCCATTAACGATCCATGTACAATAATTGCAGATCGGAAACGGGAGCCCTTTTAGAAGGGCTTAATATATTTTTTATTTAATATTTCTCGAAAAATATTGTACGTTCCCACGTACGTGGTCAGGCGCATGTGTAACAAGAGCTACAGCATCCCGTAACGTATATTACGGGGACACGTATGTCCTTGTGGAGTAGTGTTTTAATTAAAAATATTCTCACTGCCCTCCTGTGTTATCTGATGCTTCGATTAGAGCAAATTGAAGATAGAAAAATATATTAGCCGCATCGTGGTTACACCGACTCACAGACCATTGTGTTACCTAATTGTAACGATCCACGTATGTTACGTGCTGTTAGTGAATTTTTGCCGTTTTTAGATGGACGATGAAAAACGAGGTGGAGAAAAGTCGAATAAAGGGAGAGAATAGTAATCGGCCACGTGGGCGGCAAAAGGACTCCAATTTTCGTTCGGTGATATCCGACGTGTAGGACGTTGCTTTTTACATGAAATTCTTTTCTCAATCCGATGCCGTAGCGGATCTGGCTCAGAGATTCGTTTTTCGTGGTGGTTCGTTTCCTTTTTTTATCCATTTCATGTTGAGTAAGAAAAATCGATCGATCTCTCTTAATCAAAAGCAGTCTGGCAGCTCCTAGCCGCGGTTCAACGAATCCCGCTACTCCCTCGCCATTCTCGCCATTCTCGCCAGCCATATTGCTCTAGCATGCTCAAGTTTCTCGGCTAGTAGACTTCCGGAAATATAGGTCTCACATGAGCATCGAATCACGTCGAAGCGAGCATGAAGCATCCATTAGCGTGTATCATTCATCATAATCTTTCCCATGTGCCGTTTTGTGGCCACGACCAGTCGTTTTCCGGTTGCCATGACGTTGGGACTCCAGCAGCATGTTAGATAAGTGCCAAGTAAGACCCATGGTATAGGGAATTTTATTGTATGGTGATATATATATTTTTCTTTAATTATAACCATTTTTCGAAACTGGGTTAAACCAGTGTTTTATGAGTGAAACTAGGCTGCCTTTTTTTCCTACTAATTTACTTCTTGTCAGAGTTTACGCGAGGATGCGAGGGAGGACGATTCAGGATGTGAAAAGCTTTTTTACAGGCTCGAATAGAACACAGATGGGTCGAGGCGCGAAGCGTTATGCTTGTTTTGCACCGGAAGTTGAAGCCAGGGCGCGATGAATCAGAGGCTCGCCGAGGGCTGCTCTGCTCGTAAACGAAGAAACAATGGCCGACGCATCAGTAGCAGGTGGACAAACGGCGCACCGTCCAGCTGGGCGTACAGTCAAATAGGCCGGGCTTGTAAATGGATTCGTAAATGAGCTTTTTAATTGCGCGACCGAACGATAATTGCGGCCCATTGTTACTAAAATCGTTGAATCGTTATAGGGCTAGAGGTTCTTAATGGGTTTCGAGGCTAATTGTCTTATTTATTAAGTTTCAAGCTATTTTCATATATTTTATATTTATCTTCCTATTATACCACTCTGTCCTTACAATTCGTATCCTCGTATCGAAACACTTTCCGTAGGTCTTATCCTACAGATTTCTCTAATCACTGTTTTTACGATCTGACAGATTGACGTTTTGCGACCGTCTCCTGGCGGCTCTGCAGTCTCTGACGTTTTTGCGAATAATAGATATAGATAAGCTCAGGGGGCTGATTCGAGTCGCTGGTCAGGTCCTCGCAGTAAAAAATTAAAGCTCAGCGCAGAGCCTGGAGGTTGTTAGGGTTTGTGGTCCATGAGTGTTAAATAACATTCGGTGACATCAATCATCTCCCGGTCGCGATGCTCTGAACGAGATTGTGGGTATCAAGGAACGTAATATATTTCAGGGTACTTTGGACCAAAACAAAATCCTTATCACAATCCTCTATCACTCGGACATCGCAAAGAGACATATTTTCGCGTCATTCGAGCATCCACTGGCCAATAAAAAGACGACTGGATATCGAGTCTCTCTTAGTCGTTAAATGAGAATTACGACAGTTTACCTTTATGTGATTCGTAAAATTGCGAAATCCCCCATTCGCGACATAAATCATCGTAAAAATATAACGAGACCATATACGTACCTCTAGCCACATTTAGAAGTGACTTCCTGGGCTCTAATGCCAGTCGAAGCTTTTTGACTTACGGCCCTGACTTTATCACGGCAAGGCTATTCTCACCGTTCACGAGCTCCTCTTCGCGCGGAAGAACCCATTTCCTTAAGACACTAGTCATCAGCCTTATTTAGTCACTCTGTAAGGAGCTCCTGAGGACGATACCCATTTTCAAAATTTAACAACGGCTTTGCCATTCCTCGCGATAGAGAAAATAAGGTAAACGAATGGCACGATAGTACCGAGACTCGTAAAGTCTTCTAAACTTTATTTTCTCAGGTTAAAAAACGTCCCAGCAGCATCCCTTAGACTTTGCTCAAGTATGAGATCCTGCTTACGAAGGCGAATGATCGATTGACTATGTTCTTTTCAGGGAACCCAACTGTAAACTTCGATCCCTGAACGTGTCGAAGTGTCTCGTCGGTGGCCTGGACGCAGAATGTCTCGGTGAGACCATCCGAAAAGCTAGGAACCTTGACGCCCTGAGGGCTGCCGGTGCTTCCAGACCAGCAGACGTAATGCCGCTCGTTAAGGCTCTCATGGAAGCTCCCTGTCTTCAACTTTTGGACCTGGCCAGTTCTCGCCTGGCCCTCGACGACAACCCTTCCAGACTTCTGTGCCATGCCCTCGTAAGGAACGGAACTCTCAGGCTACTCAGTCTCGAGGGATGGACTTTTCGAATAGAGGTACGTGGGTCCCGAAGGCTCAAACTGTCATCAACGCCAACAGTCCAGGTTAATGAGGGTCTGATATATAATTTACGGAAATTTCATTGTCACTTTATGGCAACGAAATAGGGCCTTGTAATTCGCAATACCCTTGTGGATCTTCATTGGACATTCTATGGACGTTTGCGCCAACACGAATATCCTGGTCACGCTGTGTGTCCCAGGTGCGAAAAACATATGAGAAACCGTACGAGAACCACTTTTAACTTTCTCTGGGGATTCAATACTCAAAGTCAAGATAATATCGTACACCTAACTTATACTCCCTCGTGCACCATGTTGCATTCTAGCTACCCTGAATAGCGCGAACAAACTGAATTCCAACTGTACCTATCCCGATAACAATACCCCAAAAAGTTTGACCATTTCAGTTGGCCAGCCGAAGCCCACATAGTCGTTGGTTACAGTCTCTGCCGCCGAGTTTCCTACTATCCTGCATGTTCCTACTAAAGGCTTAATGCTTCCTTATTAACCTACCTAACCCACTCACAATGGAGCAACCTTCATATTTTACGAACAATTTTCCTCAGTCTGGAAACTCTGGGATGCTGCAATTTAGCCAACTTTGTAATCAGACATCGCAAATATTATCAATAGGAATTTCTTTGCTATTTATATAATATCAGGAAAGCTACATTTATTCCATGTTAAGCATCTAACCCTCTAATAAATTACTTTCGACGGAATTGTCCATTGAACGCAACGTCCTCAGGAAGACTTCGTGTCACCGTAGGACTAATTTAACTCGTCCATTCATTAGGAGTAGACAAGTACTCCTCTACTCCGAGCCCATCCCTTCTGCTTCTCGTTCTCCATATATACAGCATTATCCTTAACAGAATAGAATGAGAAATAGCATGACAGCAAATGGATATGAGATAAAGACAAGGATCGCAGAGCGATACGCATAATACAGGAGTCCTCGTCGTTGCTTTAAGTGGATAATTAATTATCAGCAATACCAACCAGACAAGCGTCCCACGTATCGTTCACCGAGCCACTAATTACGGGACGCCCAACCAGCTTCACCAAGGATTCGTCCCCTAGAGTCTGATAAACCGATTTCTTCTTAGTCCCAAAACCTAAAACCTACATGGCTGAACGGAGAAAGGGATGGTATCGTAGACGATGCTGCAAAACCGATAGCTCATCACACGGCGAATTTAATTGGGGCTCTTTCGTTCGTCAAATTATTCGAAAACGACGTCCCGACGTCGGGCGTCTACACCGACCCTCTGGGAATATATCGAAACCCCCTATAACACCAGGACTGTTATCACACAGATGACTTCCTAACGAATAATAGACTTGGCCGAAGCAAACTGGAGCATCGATAGTACTGTTTACGGACTTTTCTCAGATTGATAAGATCCCTATAGAATTCTAAGTCATCCCTTTGACAAGGACGCAATCTTGATGTCTCGATGGTACCGCCATTCATCCTGAACACGATGGATGCATATCTTACATACCTATATATTTTAGTTCGACTGTCAATTAACCGTCGTGGAAAAGATTTATATACCCAAGTCCCAGGTCAAGTTTCTAGACGTGCAAATAATATTTCACGAGGACGCGCCAAGTTATTTAAAACCGAACCCCCACAGGTTCCCCTCGACAGTCTCGCGTGCCTACGTCGATATAGGGTCTTCGAATACGTCAAAGTTCCTGCTTCTTATCCCGAATCTCGTAAATTCGAAGGTTACTATTATTTATAAGTGACTTTCGAGTCGAGTCAATTTGGCCTCCTTACCGTACCTCCTACTTCCCACTGTATTGCCTGCAATAAATTCTCTAACCTCACATTTTCTGCCTACTGCCTCACTCTGCTCAGTCTCTTCAGGCGCTGCCTGTATTCCATCGCTGCGAATTGCGTACGCCTATGCACGGTCGCAGCATCCTCGTTCCCCACTAGTCTTCATCTCGAAATTTCACCGAGCGCTTTCCTCTCTTTTACTCCCTAGTATACGCCATTCCGTTCTGCATCACTTCATTAGAATATAAGTTACTTAGTATGCCTGGGTACATGGCGAGATATATAACTCTTGGAAAATACGTTAACCGTAGATACATATGTATATAACAGGAAAAGATCGAGAAGGGAATTATATACGTCGACGATTCTCATGAATGGGACCGATTGTTATTTCCGTGCGAAACAAAGCGATATTTAACGTAGCAATGCGCGGCTTGCCGTTTAAAACAATGCCGACCACCCACCACCCCCAGGTTGCTACTCTCTACCATTCTCCTCTCTACCCATATAACAAATCCTACGTATTCCGTAATCCGATATCCTTGAAACAGCTTGACTCCATACTGCCTACACTCTTGCTTAACTCGCTGGGCAATTTACATTAAAATATTATCCTACGGTAAAATCCTACGGATTATGGTTGAACAGGGCGCGAAGTGACGTAGGATTCACGGGAAAGATGAACCCCCGTGTGTTTCCTCGTTTACTATCTTCATGCCAGTGCCGCTTGAAGCAACAGGACTACGAGGGCGTAAAGGTCGAACGATAATTTCAAATAATTTTCGCGACTTCTGATTCTTCCATCCGTAGGGATGAGAGGGGGTGACGTGGAAGAAGGACGGGGATGCTGCTACCAGGATAAATGGGTGGAAGAGGGTGGGCTGGAAGGTCTGAGGGAGGAAAAAAAAAGAGATCATAAATCTCATGATCTGGGAAGAAAATTACTTCCGGCAGCGAGGACCCGAGGAAGTCTCCGAGTCCTCGGGAATCAGCAAGGGTTCTGGGGTTCGGGGCTTGGTAAATTAAGGTACGGGATGCCGCGAGTATATTTGCGAAAAATGTGAGACTTTTTGCGTCATTAGAGCTCGAGCTGTCCCTTTCCTTTTGGCTCTGTATATTGTTCTCGCACTCTTGTATGGTGTATATATATATATATATTTCCTTCTTTCTTTCCTCAGTTCTCTTATCCTCTCCCTCCCCCTCCATAGCATCTTCTTTCTTTGCTCCGTTCTTCGCAATTTCATTCTACGTCCCCGCAAAGGGGACTTTTTGCCCCTGACGCTTTCGTGCCATCCAAATCACCATGAATGAGATCAGTCGTGCAAGCGCCTCTTAGAATCGAACTGCAAAAAGGGGAACGAGACCAAAAGAAAAGTCGCGCCGTGATAACTTTATCGTAAGGACCTTCTGAAAGATAGGATATACACTATATACCTGGATAATGTAAATACTTATAACGAAAAACGGGAAATTTAATCGACTTCCAATCGAGATCTGATTAAACGATTATTGTAGGTAAAAGAATCGATAATCGAAACTGAAGTCCTCAATGATATCTTGATTCGGGGACCGATTGATTAAATTGATCCTAAAGAAAAAAATTGGACAGAGATACGCGCGTGTATATATATATATATATATATATATATATATATATATATATATATATATATAAACCAGTTTACTGAGTAATCGAAATCGGGAGGAACACATATATATAATATCAAACGTGTCCCCCAAGGGTGCGTGTCAGCTTTAAGCTTTTTCTTCCACTGGGTTGACTTGGGTCAAGCCAGATAAATGAACTCGTCCACCCTCCCTTCTTGTTTGCCCACTAGATATAGAATAATCGGCACTCCGCCGTACCCTTCCAACTGTTGATAGAGCATCCCTCTCAAGCTACCCGTCGGCACACTCTTGTCTGCCCACACAAGAATGCTACAGTAGAATCGTACCTGTTTTACAAAAGCTTAAGTGCACTTTGCCATTCTCCGTACGCTTCTTGCGTCAGTTAGTTTTATAGAATATGTATATATATATATATATATAGTAGAGTAAGGATAAAAATTATAGTAGAACTCAAATATATCCTGGATACGTCAATCGAGAGTTTTCGCTATGCACCGACGTGGATAAGATCGTTTGAAATTCCCGCCATGATATTCTCCGTGAAAATCCACGTTGAGCGTCTGCAGTTTTGCATACTGGCTAAGGAGGCAAGTTTACATGGTGAATGGTATATATAACTTGATTGTTCGCGCTTGAAACACCGTACATATTTCCTTGGAGTAATTGTCGTAAGTTATTAAGGTGTTGTTTGCGCCCAACGTTCTGGCTCTTCGTCCCTGTAATTTTCCAACATGGCGCAGCTTAGTTTCCTATTAAAGCTCTCCGGCCGCTGCATTGTTTAGTTTTCGTCTACAAGCATCACGGGGATCGGGTCTTTGGAATTATTTAACGTCGCTACACCAGTAGTGTATTACTAATACGTACAACAGTGAATAAATAACTATACATTCGAGGGCATCCTGTAAATATTCAATTTTACTTACGATCGAACAAGCATGTATACCTCTATGCATATTTATTCCTAGTTCAGGTGTACTCGATCAGTTCTTAAGTGCAAAGGGCCTTCTATCTGTCGTATTCCCATATAGGGTAGACCCTTGCCAAGATTTTGACGTAACTTGGAGTCTGTTAAAATCTACTAAAGCCGTGGCCATAGTGAGGCGTCACGATAATATTATAGTGACACAATATCCTCATGGTGGAGTCGAAAGTGAGGTTAGGTGGCTGCTGTAACTTAAGGACATCATTAAGGCAACCCTGCCAGCTACCGGCAGTTTCGTCCATGATTTTGAGCGTCGCGACGCTTGTAAGCTCTTACTTCGATACCTTAGAAAAGCTCCTAGATCATCGTACACCCTTTGCACTGGGTCTACTCTACCTTTCTACCTATTGCTTTTAATTTAATTTATTCATCTGAACCGACCACGTGGATAACAGTCTATTAACACAGCTTTCGCTCGTTCTCTCCGTTTCAGGAGTCTGACAGTCTGGCCCTGTTCTCGGAACTTCTTCGATACACCAGCGTGAGGGAGCTCAACCTGTGCAACGCAAGGCTGCACCTAGCCGTCCACGAGGGGCCCCTGGCGCGACTGGGACGTCGCGACGACGCGGGTGCTGAACTTCTGAGGGCTGCACCACCAGCTGCCTGCCCTGTCATCGTCTTCCTGAGGCTGGCTGGCTTTCAAGTGAGTCTGCAGGGCACGACGCCTCTGTTGAAGTTTCATGGAAACCCGCCCTATTGGTTCTGGATCATCAATACCACTTGGTCTTTGAATCTAAAAACAGTCTGTAGACACAGGGACAAGACGTATAAGCGTAATGTCAAGTAATTGCCTTTTCGCGATAAGGTACACTCGAGCAAGCTGAAGGATCTGAACTTTGAAAGGGATGAAAGTTCACTCGGGTTACTCTTTATTTCTCCTGTTTCTCTTTATTTCCTTCTTCCTTCTCTTCCTTCCATTCCGTCAAGCAACCTTCTTCCATCGCGAGGTGTACCTACGTCGACGTCGCGGACATGCTGGCTAATTACGCGATTACGACTACAATTCAAGAATTGGAGCGGAACGAAGATAACCCACGAGGCACCAAGCCATTGTGCACAAATGTATTGTAGATTCTACCTACCGTAGCTACGAGACCTGTACTTCCTGTTATAGTACCTAGTGCATCCTCTCTTGGAATATCTTTTCATATCTTCCGAAGTTCCCCGGAGTCTCTAGACGTCACCCTGAGAAATGCATGCTTCCTCCGAGAACGGAATGACCGAATGTGAATTTTTGTTAAATGAACTTCCCTTACTTATCAGTCGAGATAAAAAGTTTTAAGTTATCAATACGACTTTCAGGTGACGGTGAACGACCGACTGGCTCTACGCGGACCCCTCCTGCTACCTTTCCTGGCTGGATTCACCGCGTTGAGCGAACTGGATCTCTCCTTGGATAAATCCGCTATTGGCGGTAGCAGCGACACTTTGCTTTTTATCGACGACAAGATACTGCAGCAGTTCTTTGGATGCTTGTCGTCGCACTTCCGGAATCTGCAGTCGCTCAGCATAAATTTCTGGAGGATCAGTCTGGAGGACAGCGACAAAACTATGCGACAGATAGCGAAGTATCTCAAACTTTGTAATCTGAGCTTCCTCAGGGCTAATGGTTTAAACGTGACCGACAGCGCGAAGAAGGTCCAGATGGAGCACATCTTCGTACAAACTCTTCTTACCAATCTTCAGTATTTAACGTGGCTGTGTCTCGACGGCGTCGACCTCACCGAGACGCAGGCGTCCAGCGTTGGTAAATGCGTCCGCGATAGATATCCTGGAACGAATCTCGAGATCAGCGCGAAGGATGTGAACGTCAAATCTGTAAAGGCACTGGTAGCGGCCATCGAAGAGGGTGGAAGAGCCGAGGTCCTGTATACGGGAGGATCAAATTGTCGACTGAAGATCACAAAGCTACAGAAAAATGGACGTAATAAGAAGAAGTGAAGGATTTACGGAGATCAATCATACTGCGATATCTTGAAAATATTGTAACTTGGACCATAAGGTGAAACGATCTCGTTCACTCGCGCATATTCTCTGGAAACCCAGCGCAAAGTAGTCAACTGTGACGTAAGGGTCTGATAAAGAGGAAGTAACGAATAGGATGGAGATGGGCCCGACTGACTCGAACGCACGTTATCGATCGTGCTCTTCGATTCTATATACCTAATGGCGATTATGATCTGCCAAGCCTGATAAAATTAAAACCGTAAGATCGGCACGGGTTATCCTGATAAGGATTGTTTTTTATTCCCTTATTGATTGTACATCAAGAGAAATCAGTTTTTGGGTGTACCCATGTCCGATTACACGGTATAATTTTAGTCTTACTGTGATTTCATTTATATACAGGATCGCTTTCCTACAGTGTAGCGGATTTCTTTTGAAGAAACCTTTAAGGATGCCCTCATTAACTTGTTAGAGTTGGGTAACTTTTGAAGCCATTTGAAAATAAGGGTGGAACCGAAAGAGAGAGGAAAGAGAATAAGAAAGAAGGGGGTTCTGTTTGTAGCGAGAACCTCTGCGAAGGATTTTAGTTAGAAGGTTGGGGTGAGATTCAATAGGATTTTTTAATAAATTTTTTCGAGAGACCAAGATAATCTGAAGGCTATTGAAGAGGCTGTTACAACTATAGGTACGTACATTGTTGTTAGATGGATTGTAAAATACAAACAAGACAGAGTAATATATATGAGATTAACGGATAATCTAAAAAGAGAAATAAACAAAAGTGAAATGGAACTTGCCGGTGACGTTGTTGGAAACTTGGAAATTTTATTCGAGTAAATTTTAAACCGTAGATCATCAATTGATTACGATTATACCTATAAGATAATATATATATATATAAATATATATGATTATTCTCTGATAAAATATTATATAGTGCGAAGGCTATATTGTATAAAGTAATTTTACGGAGTACTTTGTAAAATTGACTGCCAAACGACATCCTTAGATTAATGAAAGGTTAACGGAAAGAATTATGAAAAGAGAGAGAAGAAATTTATCGCGAGTATTGTAAATTCCCCATTATCGAAAATTCACCTAAATTTGGTTAAGATATCGAGTGATACAATAGCATTTCTAGAGAACGCAATCGCTTCCGATAGCCCAAGGCTTTAAGGAAATAATAAAAAAGAACAGATCGAATTAATACATTTTTTTTCAAATTTCATCCAAACCGACTATCGTGGATATAGCAGATGTTTGCCTACAGGGTGCTCCAAGAGTACTAAGGTATATCCTTCGAAAATTGAAAACAACAGTAACAAGCTTAGAAATGATATCCGAAATATCGTGATATAATATACATATATGTCATCCAATTTATAAAAATTATATTTTTTTTTCGACCCCCCAATATTCAATGCCTCGAGGTTCGGTAAAAAATTTCAATTATTTCCGATCGCTTTATGCCGTTGTTATTGTAAAAATATACTTGAAACCTTTCAGCGTGTTTACGAAGAGAATCGATTTGCGTTACGGAAAATCGCGCACCCATAGCTATAGGTATATCTCGACTAAAGCGTTTACAATGACTTTTTTCATTTTTGATAGTTTGCTATGTAAATAAGATATATCGATTGAAAATTCCTCTATGAAAAAAAAAGACACGAATTATTTGTGCAATTTCTCGCCAATTTAAATCACGGCGAGTAAGCCCAATATTCATTGAGACTAAAGCTGATGCTACATAGGTGTGAATGGCCTGCCGGCCATCTTGATACTATCAAATCAAACTTTGTGACATCAGCTTGAGCAATTTTATTATACAATATTTATGTATTTATATGTGTACACATATCCTCCAAATAAATGTAATATGTGTTTGACATGGTTGTATGAACTTTTTAAGGGTTAAGCGGGGGGGGGGGGGGATTAAAAAAAAAAAAATAAAAGTAAA